AATCCAAGTATGGTTTAAGGAATTGTGGAAGAACTAATCACCAAATGGAATCAAGAGAACCTCCCTTAGAAGGGAAGATGTAACACCTTATTTTTCCCAAAAGAATATTTATAATAAAATATACGAAATATATCAGAGAACACTAGTAGGATGTCACATCTTTCAAAAATTCATAAAGTTTCAAGTAACTTTATTACTTTATTTCTCATAAAAACAAAATAACAGCGAAACTTTTAGATTAGTTCACTTCCATGGCACTAAGGCCTCAACAACGATAAAACTTCACAAAATGTGTGGTTCAACATAAGTATGAAATAAGATACGCAACAAAATAAAACAAATGCAATGTATAACAAATTTCAAAAATCCCGTGTTACGTATCAGAGAGACTCCTAAGACTCGATCAGGTAACACTCACTCCAAACACTACTCGAGTACCTGATTATTTGTACTCCTGGAGAAGCACAGAAACAACAACAGAAAAGGTGTGAGAATTATATTTAATAAATATATGGTGAATATCACATCCTAAGGAGTAGAAGTTCACACAAGTCACAAAATTCACATTTCACATAATACTTCACAACACATTCGTCATTCACATAACACAACATCGACTCAACAATAATGCAATGCAATGAGACCTATATCAACTTAATTCATGTGGTACTAACAGGGTGTAAGCCCTCATCATTATGTTGAATAGGGAAGCAACATGGCATAAGCCCTCAATATAACGCCATTATAGGCCAACAACAGAGCATAGTCCCTCACCAATTCTTTCATGCAACACCAACATGCACAACATAATCATGCAACCATAGGGCATAAGCCTACCACATTCGCCAATACGGCCACCAACATCATTATCATAATGCGATATAATTAATCAATTCACACAAAGTTCCATGGTTTAACCCAATTCCTTTTATTACTAGCCTTCATATAGTTGCCTAAGTCATACTAGTCATTACGGACCAAAAGAAACTACATTACACGCGAAAATAGGAAAGAAATCGCGAAAACAAAAAAATTTCCACACAGGCCTACCATTACGCGTACTGCCCTACTCCATACGCTTCATACCTTACGCGTAACATCCCTACCTTACGCGTATTTCCAGATGGGGATTTTCCTCAAAATTCTTCCCAGAACGTCATATGTGTATTGTCCCTTGCCTTTCATGTAACGCCCTCTGCCATACACGTAACGCTCTGTGCCTTACGCGTATTGGCAGTCTACAACCATAAAAATCTTGTTTTCGCACAAGTTCGATTTTCACTCATTTTGAGCACTATCAACTTCCAAATTTGGATCCAAAATAATTTTTTTACACATAATAACCTATAGTCTTAAACAAATTTCATTAATCTATCATTATACTTCTGTTTTCTACATCAAAACCACACTTTTCATCATTTTCATAAATCCATATTTTCAGATTTGGGATTTTAGAGAAAAACCCACAACAATAATATCAGTTCTCATCAAAATTCATATTATTGGCATCACACCATTCACAATTTCATAACAATCATATGGATATAACAACAATCAACCAATGGGAAATATATACATCAATTACACACAAAACTTAAATAGGAAAATGAACCTTCACTACCCTCTCATGTTATAATGACCATTTAGAGAACCCATTCTCCCCCCTTATCTTAGTTTGGAGATTTGATTCCTCTAACAATGGTGGAATTCTCTTGCCCTAGCTTTTCCCTTCTCTTCTCTTCTCTCTTTCTATGTGACAACCGTTTTTTTTCCCAATTGATTTTACCACTCTCCCAATACAATGTTTTATTCTTAGCAATAATAATAATAATAATAATAATAATAATAATAATAATAATAATAATAATAATAATAATAATAATAATAATAATAACAATAATAATAATAATGGAATAATTACAATAATAATACCTGTAATATTAATAATAATTTTATTATTATTAGTGGTAACTTCACCATATATCTAATAATAATATTTTTATTAGTAATAATAGTATATTTCATCATTCATCAATATTATTATTCTTATAACATAGACTAAGTTTAATTATAATTATATAATTAGAACTAAGTTCTCCCATATCCTTAGCCATGCCTACATACTCTTAGTTATACAAAAATAATTCAAAGTCAACAAATAATGACTAGATATTTTAATGGGGTGTTACAACTCTCCCCCACTTAGAATATTTTCTTCCTAAAAAATTATCTTATGCGAACAATTCTGGATAAGACTCCTGCATTTTTCTCTATAATTCCTATGTTATACTTTCTCCGACTTCTCCTTCCCAAACTACTTTCACGAGAGAAATTAAATTGCCCTTCAACTTCTTCATTTCACGACCTCTGATCCTCACCGATGAGGTCTCAACTGTAAGGTTATCTCTCACTTGTACGTCATCCATCGAGATCACATAAGATGGATATGAAATATACTTCCGAAGTTACGACACATGGAACACATCATGCAAATTCAAAAGATTATGTGGTAAGGCCACCCTATAAACAACAATTCCTATTTTGTCTGATATCTGATATGGACAAATAAATCGAGGATTAAGTTTCTTCAATTTCAACGCTCGTCCAACACTGGTCACCAGTGTGATTCTCAAAAATATATAATCTCCCTCTTGAAACTCAAGATCCTTCCTTCGCTTGTCCTGGTAACTCTTTTTCTTACTCTGTGAAGTTTTCATCTTTTCCCGAATTAGCTTCACTTTTTTGTAGTTTATAGGATAATTTCCGGTCCAAGCACTACGCTTTCACCAGATTCATACCAACACAACAAAGTCCTACACCTCTGACCATACAGTGCTTCAAACAATGCCATTCTAATGCTAGAATGGTAATTATTGTTATAAGGAAACTCTACCAAGGGAAGATAACTATCCCACGTACCTACTTGCTCGAGTACACAAGCTCTTAGCAAATCTTCTAATGATTGAATACTCCGCTCTGTCTGTCCATATGTCTATGGATGATGTCATACCCCAATTTTTGACCTAAGATTCCTGCTTCATCTGCATTATTTTTACATACACATCAAGGTCACAGAATATGGTAGGTCTCAAACGTTTCGCCTTCGAGCTTTGACTGTGTAGAGATTACCGAGTGTTGTGAGCACTTTATCTTATGAATGACTAATCGCTAATCAAGCACGAAGTGTATGTTTTTCCGTTTTGTTTTCAGGTGCAGAAAATAGGTCTGAAAGAAGAGCATCATACGTTGTACGTCGATCAGGATTTCGAGTCTCAGAACAGAAATGCTGTCGTTCGTTAATATCCAAAAGACTGGTTCATCAAATAATTTCAGAGAATTGTGCGATTATTTCCACACTCTGTCCAGCAAAGGTCTCCGTTTTTCTCCGAATATTTTTTAAGAAGAACAGTCAAAATTTTACCAGCTTTGGTTCATGTGTGTTTCACATTGTTCTAAAATACAAGAAAAACAGGTTATACTGTCATTTTCGATTTTTTGGACCAAAAGTCATCTGCAAATTTTCTCACGACGCGGATTGAATTTCGCCGAAATGGGATAATTAAATTCAAAACCGTTCTAAAAAAATTTATTCGGAATATTCAGAATATTTGGATTTTCTTTATTTGAATCCAAGTGATAATTAAAGAGGAGCTATCAAGAGATCTCATCCAAGAATATTCATTTATCACATGGAATATTTATTCAAGATTATTTTTGTGATTATTTTGGAGGATCTACATCATGGTTATTTAAATACATGAAGTATTATTTCAAGAAGTTAGTGGGGAATTCTATTTAATTACATGAAGAATTTTATTTGATTACAAAATTAATCCATGTGATTTATTTGGATTTCTATTACAAAAGTGCAAGATTAAAGTCCAAGACTTGCATTATTATTTATTCTTTATTCAATAATTCATCCAAGTATTATTCAATTATTTCCCAAATTTAAATGGAAGATCTTGAATTTTTATCAAGATATATCAAGATTCATGTTTATGTGAAGATTCAAGATTATTCATAACTACCAAAAGAGTGGAAATATATTGAAGAATACATGTTTATTCATGTCACAATTTATTTTGAGTTTATTACAAGGTTGCAATGAAGCTACAAGTGTGTACAAATGTATTTTCAACATTAAAAAAAAAAATCAGCAAAGTTGCTAGTGCAGTCCACTTTGTAACCCATCTTCAAGCCCAATTTTGCTGCATTTTTGTTGGTCAACAATGCTCCAAATAGCCTGGAAAAAAACAGCAAAGAGAGATGTTGTAAAATGCTACAAAACAGTAAAAAAACAGCAATATACAGCAGCTCCAAGTGCTGCCAAAACCTGGTCCAACCTGCATCAAAGTAGCAGCAATTTGCATCAAAATGGCTAAAGTAATTTGTGTGAACAAAGCATGGAAACAGCTTGCCAAAACAGTTCAAATTTCTACTGTTTTCCCCCTTAAATCCCACATACTCCACTATAAATAAGAGCCCTTGTCAACACAAAATGGAAGGAAGTGAAAAAATTCAGCAAGTAAGAAAAACCAGAAAAATAGAGTGTTGTTCTAAGTTTCAGCAAGAGTGAAAACAGAAAATTAATGTTGTTCTAAAAAAATCCAGCAAGGAGAAAAGATAGCAAACTCAAGGAAGCTTACCATTTTGTTAGAAGCCCCATCGGAGAGGCTCCGATAGGTATTATTCTTTTTCTCCTCTCTATCTATTACTGCATATATTCATGCTTGAATCACTTGCTGTACCATTTTCTTTGCCATGTAATATTTGCCTTATCATTCTGTTCTTTGTTGTACTGTATTTGAGTTGAGTTGCTGGATGATTGTTAGCATTTAAACATGTTAGTATTCATAATATCGGTAATAATAACAAGTGCAATAAAAAGCTTACTTCTTCCGTCGCATAATACTGATTTACCGCTTGCTGTCCCAAAGACTTATTTATCGCTTGCTGTCCCAAAGATTTGTTTAGAACTTGCTGTCCCAAAGACTTGTTTAGAATTTGCTGTCCAAAACACCTTTGCTGTCCAAAACACCTTTCCTGTCGAAAAATATTTGTTATCCATTTTGCTGTTACAAAAATTTAAAATCCATAAAACCATTTTGCTGTTGCAAAGTCCAAAAAAACCATTTTTGTTGTTGCTTTCCAAAAAAAGCTTGTTATCCTTTTGCTGTTACAAAAATCTTAAAATCAAAAAAAAAAACCATTTGTTCTTAAAAATAAATAAAAAACAATTATGCTGTTGCAAATATCCAAAAACCATTATGCTGTTGCAAATTTTCAAAATACTTGTTGTTACACAATAAAAAAACATTTGCTGTTACCAAACACTTAACCAAAAAACCTTAGAATATGCCATCCAAAATACATCCACGTCCTTTTCCCCAAATCTAAAACCCATGTTCCAATGGCACCAACACCGACAAACCCAGAAGAACATGAACCGGCGCGACTCAAATCTCTTGCAGAAACCCAAAACTCCAAAACCGCCCTTAAATACTCCAAATGACCTCCACAATTACAAGGAATCTCAGAGTTAGTTAACTCTCTCAACATCCTATCCGCTCCCGATTTCTACGTCGTTCTCGATGTAGAACCCTCTGCCGATTCCATTCGGAATCAGTACAGCAAAACTCTCAGATTTGTGGTCATCGGAGAACCTACCGAAACAACTCCGACCACCTCCGAAACCACCTCCATTGTCGGTTATCTCCACCTTTTTTATTATTATTTATTTTTAAGTATTATTTGAAGAAAATAAAGCAAGAAGAGAAACAGAAAGAAGATGTAGAAGAAAGAGGAAGAAAGAGAGTATATGCGTGAGAGAATGAGAGAGGAAGAGGTTTGGATCCGTTTGGGAGAGGAGAGATAACGTTGTTTTTTTTACAAACTCACCTTTAATGTTTTGTGCTTTCATTGGAAATAATAATAATAATAATCTAAAATCCATCTCCTTTTTCTCTTCCCAACGTAACAAAGTATTTTTAATAATAATTCTATTGTTCCTTCCCATGCATACAGCATATGCAAGCGGCGCCCTTACTAGCTTTAGGGTTACTTATTTTTGTTCCTTTCATGCTTGACCCGGATGGCCCATTGGGCCTGTTTTGGGTCCAATTTCAATTTTAAATTTTCTTTTATGTTTTATTTGAATCACACTAATTAATGAATAGCAACATGGTTCAATTGGCAAATATGTTACCAGCAACTCTAAAGACCTGAATTCAAGTCCTTGTTGGGTCATTTTTTTTCTGTCTTTTATTCTTTTGGCCATATTTCCCTTTTATTTAACACACTTGATTATATACATTAATTTAGTTTGTTGTATAATTATTAACTATTATAAAAAACACATAAAAATGTTTAATTAAAGTTCATATTTATTTAATTTTGTCAACATACTATTTAATTCTTATTTTTATTTTGCGTTTTTGTTTATTTAATTATTCAAAAATACATGTTTTATGATTTAATTTTCGTTATGTGTTTAATTATTAAAAATCTATGATTTCGTAATTTAATCTTCATGTACTTTTGATTATTTATTTAATCGTTAAAATGCATGCTGGTATGATTTAAATTTCATTAGTTAATTCTTCAAGTGTAATTTTAATTAATCGATCGTTAATCTTCATATCTTTCGTCCGTCTCAATCCAAGGGAATTGTTTAATTTTTGTCGACTTCATGTCATCAAAAACATCGTGCGAATACCCTCATTCAGTTTTTGTTCATTATTTCGTTAAAAACTTAAGATAATTTTCCTAAATATTCAATTTTTCAAAACTCACACTTTTTAAGTCAAAACTTCGACGTTAGGTCGTCGTATCTTCAAAAAACTCGTCCATACCCATTTTTGGCCAAACAATTTATTTTTAATCAAACAAATTTTTTTTTAATAAACAAATATTTCAAAACGTTCCTATAGAATACTATAGATACATTGGATGTTAATACCTTCCCATTGTATAACCAACCCCCAAACTCTAGACCTCTTTTCAGAACGCCTTGAATTTTCATTACTTTTAAAAAGTATTATTTTACATTGCATACTTTAGGGTTTTATTTCGCTCTTTTCCCTTTTTCCTTGGAAATAATAAAGCGCGGTGGTGACTCTTGCTTTTTGTGAGACGAGTTAATTAATAGCTCGATCTCCGATTTACCTCGCTACATTTTTTATCGCTACAGAAATGACGACTCTGCTGGGGAAAGATTGACCTCTTGCTGGTCCATCCCTAAGTGGGTTAAGCCTAGTTTGTCTTATCTGTTTTATTATTATTTATTTGATTTGTTTGATTATGTGTTTATATTGGGGTTGTTTGGTTTTTTTGCAAAGGACGAATCCTATACCCGGATTAAGTTACACTTAAGAATAGGACGAGCGGTATAGTCATGTTAACTTTGAGGGAGTAATCCCGAAGAAGGAGGCATGAAATCCCCCACTCAGTGGAAGGCCCTTTTGAACGTAGTATTTGTTTACCGAGTAATCGGGAAGACATTATTATTTTCGACCTGGGAGCCAGAGAAGCTGAGAACCGTAGAACCCTAACCCATCTTGGCCTTTTAGGTGTAGCACGGAGACTATAACGGAGTAATTCGGAAGTAGTTGTCACGCGATGCTACGCTCGGATGAGTTTCTCTTGAGAATATTACTAATTATTGAGTAATCAAGACGTTGGTAATATCCGAAGGAGGGATGTAGACTCTGGGAACTCTTAGAACCTTGTTTTACAGGTGTGATTAAACCGTTAGTACATACCCTTGGGTGAGCTTTACCTTTGACTCCATGCTCAAAGCGTTGAACCTTTGAACCCTATATTTGTGAACTTGTGTGTAACTGTTGCATTATCATTCATCCATTCATCCATCAACATTTTTTGTAAAAACTTGTTTTTCAAGGAACTTAAGAATGATTTTTGAAGACATCTCAGGTACTGTTATTATGGAGTTTGGAAGAAGAAACACTCGAAGTTATAGTTTTAAGGAGCTCGAGATTGAAGAGATGAAGAGTTTGATTCATAAGATCAAGAACCCGACGGAGTTTCAGAAGAAATATGGGTCCATTATACCTCTCATGAAGCGCAAGATGAAGGATGGCATCCTTAGTACGTTGGTCCAATTCTACGATCCTTTGTATCGATGCTTCACCTTTCCGGATTACCAGCTAATGCCTACCTTAGAGGAGTACTCCTACATACTTGATTTGCCGATCATCGACTGTGTTCCTTTTTCTGGCTTAGAAGAGGAACCCAAATCTCACGAGATAGCGACCATCACCCACTTGAGGAAGTCGGAGATAGAGGAGAACATGACTACAAAAGGGGGAATCCGAGGCTTATCTGCGCAGTTTTTGTTGAAGAAAGCTCGTCATTTCGCTGAGATAAAAAATATTATTGCCTTTGAAGATGTCTTTGCTTTACTCGCTTATGGCCTATTCTTGTTCCCTAACATTGATAAGTTTGTGGATATCAACGCCATCAGAATTTTCTTGATTGGAAATCCGGTCCCTACGCTTCTAGGAGATACTTACTAATCCATCCATATTTGAAACTCTTATGAAGGAGGGATGATTATTTGTTGTGCACCGTTGTTGTATCAGTGGTATGTTTCTCATCTACCTAGGTCTGATGTTTTCTGGGATCTCGAGAAGGAGCCACGATGGGCGCCAAAAATTATGGCTCTCACTCATTTCGACATTGATTGGTATAATCGAGTTTAGTATGACGTGAAGATCATCGATAGCTGTGGTGCTTTTCCTAACGTGCCTCTCCTTGGTACGAAAGGAGGAATTAACTATAATCCTATTCTCGTGCGCCGTCAGTTTGGATACCCGATGAGGGACAAGCCGAACAACATCCATGTGAGTAGTTTCTTTCTACTAGAAGGACAAGATCACCAAGCAGCTAAGAAGGAGATCGAAGGAGCTTGGCGTCACATCCATAGAAAAGGGAGAGACCTGTTAGGACAGAGAGGTGATGTTTCTTTGGAGCCTTACCTACAATGGGTTCGTGCTAGGGCTGGTGCTCTCAAGATGCCTTATAAACCCGAGAAACCTTTATTCCCTACTGTTGCATCATCATCTATTGATATCCCTATCGACAACATGGAAGAATACCAAGGAAATCTGGCTAGGATGAAGTCCGAGAGAGATGCGTGAAAGGAAAAGTATAATATGTTTGAATATGAGAATAGTTTCCTGACTCGACAGCTAAAGGAAAATGAGGATTTGCTATTTATTCAAGACGGCTGGTTCATTGATCATGATGAGAAACTTTGTCAAAAGGATGCACTACTCAAGAAATATGCTAGTGAAAGGAAGAGAAAGAAGGAAGATCCGGTAGGCGTTGCTCTTGTTCCTAATCCACAAAAGGAAATCGTCGATCGACTGGTAGCTGAGAAGAAAGAGATGGAAGACTTTTATAAAGAGAAGATCAGGAAGCTCCAGTTACAGTTGGCATTTGGTCCTTCATCCAATGATTCTGAGTGATCTTTAGTTCTTAGTTTTATTTTTATTACTGATGTCATTTTGTAAAACTCTGTATAAGGGCTTCATGTTCCAAAGTTGTCATTTATTGCTTTTTATTATTGGGTTGTTGTCCCAAAGTTTTAATTTATTTGTTTTGTTGTTCCAAAGTTGTAAGTTATAATTTACCGCTTTGATTAATGAAATGAGTTTTTGTTGTTCCAAATTCCTTTACTATTGATGTGTGCAAAATTATCAAAGTTCCTTGAAAAAACTATCGAAACAAACGATCATTTACATCGCATATCATGCATCATCCAACATTCTATTTCACATGTTTTCTAGAGTCTTATCCTTGTTTCTTTTTCCACTCTGATAGATTATCAAGTTGTCTCATCGGTACAACACCCGAGCCAATCGTCAGAGGAAGATGGAAGATCTGGAACAGGAAAACCACGAGCTTCGCGAGGAGGTTGCTACCCTTCATGTCGGAATGGAAAAGTTAATTGTGCTAGTGGAAAGCTTGATGGCGGCTCAGAATCAGCCATCGACTTCAGTTGCTAAGATTCAGACTTCAACTATTGTGGTTTCTGAGATTGTCACCGTTCCAAAATCTGTGACTCAAGTCAACTCTCCGCTTCAACATCAGATGCCAAAATGTTTTCCGTGGGGAATGCCTTATAACTTCATTCCAGAAGGGTATCAGCCTGCCGTACAATCCTTGGTTCAACCTACTGTGTCCTTTCCTCAACCGGAGACAACTACTATGCCGCCTGTAATTCCATCTGTGGCACCTTTCCCTTAACCAGTGATGACAATTTCCGCTCCCGTGGTTCATTCTATGCCATACCTGAATGAGCCTACTTATCATGCTGAGCCTGCTAAAAGTATGGGTCTTTTCGATAGAATGGAGGAATTTCAAGACCAGTTTCAAGAGATGCAGAGGGAGATCAGAGCGCTGAAAGGAAAAGATTTGTTTGGAAAGAATACTCATGATTTGTGTTTAGTTCCAAATGTAAAGATTCCAGCCAAATTCAAAGTGCCGGACTTTGAAAGGTATAAAGGTGACTCGTGTCCGCGGAGTCATTTAACTAT